TTTATATATGTATAGTTAGCTGTATATGAGCACGTTAGCGTACATAACACCACATGCATAAGTATTAGATATGTACATATGTATGTATGTAGGAATGCTAAAGCCCCTGGCCACTGAAAGCAGTTTCATTTCAATCGGATTCTCCTCTGATTGGTTGGCGCCGCTTACTTTTGTCATTCCTAATTAGTGTGTCAAAGCAATTAGTCGCTGGACTGCGGCTGCTTGCTACTCAGTTAAGTCATGTTGCGCTTGTATTTGTATTTCCAATTGTGTTTGAAATTGTAAGGGGTGGCGGGAGGATGCTTGGTTGGTTAGCACTTGTCTCATGAATGTTTGCATGTGCCTTTCATTTAGTATTCAACGAATGAAGAGGAGACACATTAATATGTACATACATACATATATCGCTGGGAAAACTTGGTTTCTTGCTCCATTTGTGTTATTTGGGAGACTGAGTTGCTCAACTGTTGGCAACTACCACTTTCAATAATTCCACGCGCTCATACATTGTGTGTATGCGTGGAGTATATATAATTATGTACATACTGAAATACGTTTATAGGTGTATAACATTGAGCACATTATGAATTAAGGGTTGTGCATACACCTACGTATATCATACCTATCTACATACATATGTATATGCTTATGTATTTATGTACACATTAGACGTTTACGTCGCTGTTTGTTTGTAATTTCTCGCGCGCCGTCGCACTATGGGCAATATGGGGCATTTGCTGATCAAAAATCTGTAACTTTTTTGTTTTTAAAGTTACGATCATGAAATTTTGCATGTAGATAGTGTAAACCATGTAATTTTACATAATTTTTGTATCTCATTTGGTTCCCGAGATATAGACCCATATGTGGACTTGGAAAACATAAAAAGTACACTTTCTGATTGAATGGAAGAAGATATTTACCTATTATATATATTATTGCAGATAGATATACATATATATTTTTTTACAAGTGGCATTCGAAAAAAATCTTCTTGCTGTATTTCCATCATTAGAGTTGCTACTTACTTGCCGTGGCTTATCTATTATTAATCCCAGCTCTTCTCGAAAAAGTCTTTGCACCGCAGTCTTCTTCTTTTGTAGCAGACCATTTTTTAAAAGAATGGTTATATGATTTGTGCAAAATCATAATTTGATACCCACACTGTTTTCCTATGTACATTGCATTAAATTTTTTAAACCATTTTCTGAATTACTCATATTGTTAAATTTTCAAAGTCCTTTTAAAAAATCCTGACGTCAGAGAGAAAAGCTAAAAATGCAATTTTACTGCATATATTTGGCCCATGGCTTCGCGAATATATTGGTTTTTTTGCGTGTCGCACGGTGTTATGTGTATGTATAATTAGCTAGACATACATATATAAAAAGATATTAAATATATATATATATAAATGAAATGTCTTTCGTATGACGGCGATGCCTGACAGAACGGTTGAACCGATTTCAATTCTGTAAAAAGCACATTTTTGGACCTTCTNGAATATATTGGTTTTTTTGCGTGTCGCACGGTGTTATGTGTATGTATAATTAGCTAGACATACATATATAAAAAGATATTAAATATATATATATATAAATGAAATGTCTTTCGTATGACGGCGATGCCTGACAGAACGGTTGAACCGATTTCAATTCTGTAAAAAGCACATTTTTGGACCTTCTGTGTGGAAGGTTATTTGATTTAAAAAAATTTGAAATTTTTTGTTGTTGTTGCCGGAAAATTAAGAAAGCTGAGACGTCACGATTTCACAATTTCATAGAGTTTTCCGTATATTGAATGTCACTAAACTCAGGGGCGGACCCAGCAGCATTTCTTGGGGAAATTTTTCAACATATATCGTGTATATAAATTTAAAAATCACCGCAATTTAAATTTTTAGAGTTTTGATAGTTTTTAATTTTTTGAAGCTTCCCCTTTTTAATAACTTGAGTGGAATTCCAAAGTTTTCTAAACTTTCAAAACTTTGTGAATTTGAGAAATTTTAGTAAATCCCAATAATTCAATTAATTCAATATAATGATGATTACTAGATTTCTAGAAATTTTTTATTTTTCAAAAATTTTGAGAATTGTAGGAATTCTAACATATTTTTTCTAAGTAAAAGTGTCGAATATACAAAATTGATCAAACGAAATTAGAAGTTTTCGAATGTTGAAAACATTTTCATATTTCGTCGTGAAGATTAAAAAAATTTTTGGATGTTGTTTTCAAAATTTTAAAAAAATTTTAAATTCTCAAACTTTGTTATATCAATTGTGGAACAATTTTGGAATTTTTCAAAAATGTTAATATCTTTTAGAATTCTAAGAATTTTCTATTTTTTACACACAAGTACATGAACATAAGAATTTTTCGACAATTTGCGATGTTTCACTTTTTTACATTTTAGGATTGATTTTAGGATAAATAAAATTCTCAAAATTTTGGAAAATATAAAAATTTCTAAAATCTTAATCATTTTGTACATTTAAAAATATTCTCATTTTACCAAAATTTTGAGAATCTCCCGGATTTCAATAGTTTTTGAAATTTTGGAAATTATAAATTATCCTAAAAATAAGAAATCTCAAGAAATTTAATAATATTATAAAATTGAAAATTTTGGAATTTTCGTTGTTTTCTGAACCTGCTGTGACTTTCAACTGTGTAAAATAATACAAGTTCGAAAATATAACAAAAAAACTGAAAATTGAAAATTAAGTACATAATTTCAAAATTTTGAAATTCAGTGAATTCGAAAAACTGATTCACTTAAATAAAACAATACTTCGAGCTTGGTACACAGCTATAATCTCAAACTCAAGTGAAATTTAACACACTTTTTCCATGAATAAAAATTTTTAAAAGCATCCATTCATTAGGTTTGTTCCCCGGGCTTCTCGAAGTCACTTCGAGTTACATATACGCGCTCCGCAAGTAAGTTTTCCAGTTTCTTTGATATACGCTCACAGTTTGAACTTTGCTCGAGTTTTTCTACAAGTAGCTTGTGGGACAAAGCTGTTATATATCCTTGTAATGATATTTAACGATATTCAGTTGAATATTATGAAAATACATGTTACACAGTCTTGGGGGGAGAGGGAGGGGGGAGGGGGGAATTTCCCCATTTTCCCCTACCTGGGTCCGCCACTGCTAAACTACTAAACGACTGGACCGATTTCGTTCATATTTGGAACATATGTATTTCAGCACCTTGAAGGGAAATATTTCGACTAAAACTTTAATCGCTAGGTGGCGCTGGGGTCGGGATATTCATAAAAATTGCATTTACTACTAAAGAAATATTTGGACTTGAAACTTACACGATAGGTGGCCCTGTGGCCGGGACATCCCCAAAAATTATTTTACGCTAAGAGAAGGATATATCTACTATATATTTTTGGAAGTATGTATGTATGTATATGCCAGGTTGCAGCCTAAACGGACGGGCAGAATCGAACAAAATATTGACAGACTATTGCCATGACACCTGGGCCTATAATAGGGTAAAAAAATGTGGATTCGACAAGGGTGCGTGGCACCTCCCATAGGCGTAAAATTTTTAATCAGCCATAACTTCGAAACTATAAGTCACATGAACTTGAAATTTGGTATGCAGTCATATATAT